AGTATATTAAATTAGTGTTCCTTGAGGCAGAATCTTTCTCATTTTGTCCTTTGGAGCATTAGTATTAAGGGAAGAATGGGAATGGAAGAAAAGGAAAACACTCAATCCCAAGCCTTTTAATTAATTAATCCATTCAGTGAATACTTATTGAATATACACTATGTGTTAAGTACAGTTCTAGTTACTGGGGACGTAGCATTGTAGTTTATCGTAATTTAGTTAGTTAAGTAAATAATTACATAAATACTTAAAACAATGTTAATTGATACGAAGAATTTTTGGTTCATAGAAATAGTTTATAAGAGGGGCTTCTACTGTATTATAGTCTAGGAGTGCAGGTGGGAGAGGGAGGATGGGTCAGGGAAGGCCATACGTACCAAGCAAAAACAACAACAAAAAAGAATAGTATGTCAGCATAATTTCACATGATGCTGTAGAGGTTCCTTTCTCCTCAGCTGAAACTATAGGTTCTGAACCTTCAAGAGAGTGTTTGAGACTAAATCCTTAATAAGAGAACCAATTTATAACTAAATTCTATTTGAATGAAGGGCATATTTGGAGTTGTGTACAAGATGAAATTATATAAATTATTTCACATCTCTTTTCTTTTTAAATTCCCTGTTTCTTGCTTCCTGTAATCTTCAGATTCTTTCTGTTGTCTTTTTTCTCTCATCTCCTTTCTACTTCTGATCTACTTTGTGTCTCTGTTACAGTATCTGTCTTAACTTATTTTGCCTCTGCTCTGCTTTTCCTTTACCCCTTGAATCTTTAATGCTTTTTATCTTTCTTTTTTTTTTTGCTTTTATTCAAAACTAGCAAAAAAGTAAAAAGGTTTCAAGTTAAAATGACTTACATACACATTCTAATATATACATGTTTGCATTTGTATATTCCAACTTTTGAGATCGTATCTTTTCTTCAGTCTCTTTGCTATCATTGGTATTTTTTAACATGTTAAGTGTAGTGCTGTGTAAAAAATGAGAGAATAAAAGCAAAGGAGTCTGAATTTTCTGATTAGCTGGTCACTGGTTTTGGTTTTGTTTTGTTATCATTTGAGGTCAACATTTTGTTTCTTGCCATTGAACAAGGTGATGACTATAGTTTCAGAAAGGAATAAGGCATTATTGACTAATGTAGGGATAAATCAAGAAATGCAACATTTCATGCATGGGCCTTTCACTTAGAGTGCAAGGTTGTCAGTCAGAATTTGCATGCTATAGGAAATCAATTGAAACTTGAGCCCATAGACATTTACTTCAGCAAAATTCTTACTAATTATCATACTATGTCAAGTTAGACTGTTGTAGGCATAATTTAAAGTTTACAAAAGGTTGAGATTCTTTTGTCTAATTGTAAACCTCATATTAATGAGATATAATTTATACTTTGTCAGTTATATTTCAGATAGCTCCAACTGTTATTTTAAGTCTTTATTTGAACCAGTAAAGCGTTATACATGCTACTAGTAAACCTTAGTACCTTTCCCAAGGTCATTTTAAGTAGAAATTTGAAAGCTTTTTATAGCTGTTTCAAATAATCTCTTTTTGAAAAGGTAGATTGTCTAAATTTTGTGTTGTCTTAAGTGATACAGTAAGTGACGTACTTACTGTAGGCCTGAATTTAATTTTCTCAAAATCACTTTTGTTGATTCTTTAACTAGATATTGAATGATCCAGCTCATAAAATTACATCAAGTATACTGAATTGGCACTTACAGTGTATTAATGTCAAAGATCTGGTCTCATTTTTCAATACTCTGTATCTTGGATTGGCAAAGTAAGAACCTGTGGTGAATTCCAGCCTTCCACCTGTTGTGTAAATAAAGTTTTATTGGAATACAACCACACTCATTCCTTTACATATTGACTATGGATGCTTTTGCACTGCAGAAGCAGAGTTCAGTGGCCGTGATGGAGAACATTTGGCAAAGCCTAGAACATTTACTATCTGGCCCTTTACAGAAAAAGTTTGCTCATCAGATCCTGCTCTATGTAATGTAGATGAGACTAAATTATAATGTAATTGATCTTTGATATCTGTGATAAATACCTCCTGAAACTTTTAAAGAAATACAAATAGAGAAATACAAGAATCAGCTTTTTCTCTTTCAAGATTCATGTTTATATTGAAAGTTACATGAATCTATGCACATTTTCAAATCTCAAATTAACTATTTTTTTTCATTTTGATTAAAGTTATACTTTTCTTTTTATGGCCATCTATCACTATACTTACGTCAATTATAAAGAATAATAATAAGGCAACATTGAGATCCAAATGCTAAGCGGTTGACTTGGCTCACTCATGCTCTGTGTGTCAGACCTAGCACACTAGCTTCACCAAAAACATAGTTTAAATTCGGTTATCAGCAAAATGACAAATCACTATACATTATGTACTTTTAGGAGCAATTACACAACTTATTTAAAGACTGAATGCTAAATTCAGGTGCCAGGGATCTGGTATAGTCTTTAATACATTTGATTTTGATTTTTAAAAAATATTTAAATTATTAGCCAGGGAATTTTAATATTAGACTAAATACAGTTATCTTAAATCTTTCCTGTTAAAAGGTCCTTCTTAAAGTAATTCTTTGCATTGCAATGCCTGAAGACAAGTTATAAGTAATACATAGAACTTTCTTACATTTTTGTTGTGTTGATTATTTGGAATATACAAATTAGGTAATCTACCTATACTGTTATTTTGTCCCTGGTCATTTGTAATTCTTTGAAACCAAAAATGGAGATTTATAACCTTGGTAATTCAATATTCTGGTTGCTGCAAAGGTTCTCATATACCAATCTTGATGTTTAATTATCATCTATCTGTTCACATTTTAAATTATAAAGTTTAATAATAACATAATTGTGAAATTTACCAGTATTTAACTTTGATTTTATTGGGAAGCTGCCATAATTAGCTCTGAGACTGATTTCATCTACAAATGACAATAGAAGACAATAAAAGATAGACAATATAAGATAAATGTTTCTCACCATATATCACTTCCTTAAAAAATCATATTTAGCCTACAAATAACTGATGGTTAAATGCTATGCTAGTGTTCTTCAAATACTTTCACTATGACAATAAATACTTGTAATAATTTTATTGTCTTATACTTTTCTGCTATATTTTTTAATTGAATAAAAAAGAAGTGGTTATCTTCACACTTCTTGTAGAATGAGCTTCTATTAAGCAACATCTTTGAAAATTGTAGATTTATTTTGGAGAAAAAAGGTAAAAGATGAGAGTAGTTACCCTTTTTGAAATATGAATCAAAGTGGATGTTAGTAGTTTGAGATACACTAAATTACAGATAATTCAAAATCACTATGCTTTCCTGTTAACTTATACTATTTAAGTGTGTTTAGAAGTAGCTTTTTGATATATGTGTATATATTTTTTCTGTTAAAATACTGTTTTAAAATTACTACTTTTCCATGAATGTAGGAATTTCATCTACTTGTGAAGTTGAAACAATTTGTGTCATATTTATTGTCTTCTAGTATCTTTTCCTAGTATCCTTTTTTGGGGTAAGTGTGAAATCATAGCAGTACAGAAATGGGGGGGAAAACTTGAGAAAACAGAAACTTGGATATCGAAACTTTTTTGTGCAATTTAAAAATAATTAAGACCATTTCTAGAATCTGTCTTTTCACTGATACCTATTGCAGATTTTCTTTTAATTTATCCAATTTAAATGGTAGCCTAAATTATATTACAGATATTTTCTAGGTTATGTCTTTTAGAACTTCTTTCTTTACTTTTACTGCATTTCTTCAATTCCTCAACATCAACAAACATTTCAGTGGTTACTGTGGCTTTTATAAGACACAATGCATGCATGAAGGGAACCAATTTACTTTTTTTTGTCTTTAAACTGAATAATTTTATATATATTATAAAAAGAGAAAATGGCATTAGTCACCTATAAATGTGGTCCATATTTGGTCAGCATTTCTATATATTTGTTTTCACAAATAGGTAGCAGCAAGAGATTTTTAGTTCAAATTTAGTGTAATTATTTGTCATTGCTTTTGAGGGAACATAGTTAAACTTTGTAATAAAAATACTTGCCTCGTTTTACTTATAATGGTGTCCAAAAAAGAGAGGAAATACAGTTTCTGATAAGAATTGAAAGTCCAGGAATAAATATAATGATGAGAATGAGTGCTTCTATCACTGGGGAACTTTCTTCATCTAAGCACATATGAACAATTGATCCTTGTAGTCATATATAGCAGTAAACATTAATAACTTAACAGTCTGAAGTCAGTGCAGAAGATATGGAGCATTATTGAAAGATGGAGTCGAGCAGGTGGCACTTTAATATGTTCAGTGTCATGGTTGACTCTAAAGACTAGTCGAATGAAATTACTTGAGGTTCTAAAGATTTAAAAAGCGAACTCATTTTGCTGCACTAAGGAAATGCTACTGATCAGGCTTTCTGTGTCCCTTTTTTCTAGGCTAGAAAATATTAACCCTGAAGAAAATGACATGGTAAGCCATTCTCTGAGGAGATTTCTCGATGTCAGTCTTATATCTTAGAGGCTTAAGTTCAATTGAGTGGGTTTCAAGAACTAAGATGTGGGAAAAAGAAGAATTGACACACTAATAATGTACATCTTTGCTGCAATATGAAAATTCAATAACTTCACTCAGTCAATTTACAATTCACATGTGCCTATTAATTAAAACCCTATATTAAATAAAATATATTAAAACTTCATGTCTGACTAACATATAATGGTGTTGGTAGACATTACAGGAATTACTGAACAGAATAAACAATGCAGACACAGGGATAGCTATTCAGAAGAATGGAGCTATAATTGTGGATAGAATCTACAAGACCAAGGAATGTAAAAAGAGAATAACCGCAGAAGAAATGAGTGCAGTGATAGAAGAACGGGACGCTGCTTTGTCTCAGGTAACTGTGCATGTATCTGTAAAAGCATATACTTACCATTTCCCCCTCTTTTTTACCATTGAAAGTGACTTTTGCCCAGATATTCTTAATTCACACTAATTTTTAGCATATAATTAATACTTAAATAATTAGCTATGTTAGAATAATTATGTATTTTGTTATGCTGCTGTTCAAAATATACAACCTCATTTTTAATACAATTGAATGCATTGTAATTTCTTAATAAAATAAAACTTGGTTTATAACATGTTAACTTATTATAGAAATTTAGTTATATTCTTTAATCACTTTTATATGAGACTTCTTACTCAAGTTGCAGTTTTGAGAGGGCTGAGGCTGTGTCTTTATTCCCAATGTCTAATTCAGTGCCTTTTGGTAAACATTGATTAATGAATGGATCAACTCATTAGTCTATTCTCTTCTGAACATTACTTACACTTTCCTGTTCTAACTGAAACCTGATTACCTCCCTGAGGCTGTGCTTCCACTGCAGTTCTCTCAGTAGTGGCTGTATTCTCTCCCACACCAGTTATACTGCTGGGCTCAAAGGCTTTTTTCTCATTAATGTTCCTTTTTTCTCCCTAAACACCTCCAGCTTTAAAGCTCATACATCAGATTATACCACCTAGTACATACTCTCATAGTCAGGTACACACTCCTATGTTACTTCCTTTGTTTCATTAAGATTTTAGGATGTATTCCATTGTCTCTTCTTCAGCCTACTCCTGTCATAATTCTTGTGATTTAAATATCTGTGTTGATGATCCTTTCAAAATCTTGGCCTCTCATTTCCTAGAGTCCTCTACTCCAATCAATTATCATGTGTTGAACACTACTTCTGCCATCTACACTGTGGTCAGATCCTATTCTTGGTCATTATCAGTCTCACTTCCAAGCATCCCACTTTCTGACCACCACCTACTATCTTTCTGGGTCACTTACACTAGGACTCTGACTCCAGCAATGTTTCAGCTCCACCAGCACTTATTTCTATTGATCTTCCCAACTATTTTCTATCCCTCAAACCCCTCATGTCCTCACTTCCCCCCCTTAGGTAGCTTAGATTCCATGGCCCACCACAATTATCACCACCTTGAAAATAATATAACCTCAGTTCTTTTGGCCTTCTCTTTCTTTGCCATACTCACCTAGCACAATCAAAGCCTAGTTAAACTAATCTTTCTATCTGTTCTGCATCTTGACAGCTTTACAGGGCAGGAGAAAATCACACAAATTTTCTGATTGGACTTAGCTAAAATTCATGACCACTGTCTTCAAGTAGGTCCTTAGTGTTGCCTGCCAGTCTTCTTGCCTTTTGTTAGTCCATTCTAGAGGCTTTTTTTTAAAATCTCTTTTCCTTTATCCTTAGATGTACAACCATCTCCCCTCAATCAAAAAGAGAAATTTCATGTCCCCAACCATTTCATCTGCCAGCCTACCTACATTTTTGCCCATATACTCTGCCTCTTCTACTCTACTTTGTTCTAACTACATACTTCTATTTAAAGAAAATCTATTTCTGTACCAGTTCACATCTTTTCTAGCCTTCTCAAGGTTATCACTCAACCACTTGTTCCTTTTCTCTTCTACTTCTTAAAATGTTTCCCATTAGTTCATTTCTATTGCTATCCAAAATGGTTTGCTGTCTCCCATGGAGGTTTTATGGAGGTTTTGGTAAGTCTTGGCTAGTAATGGTTCACACCAGTATTTTGGGTGAGACCTCCCAAGCTGAGAGGTGAGTATTCACAAGGGCTCTGCTCCTGGCAGATGCTGTATTCCAGTGTTTGTCTCCCTCAGCATTGTCAAACTGTGGAAAACTCCACTGTTTTTCAGAGGCCAGGGGGCTTAGCTTTTTAACTTTAAGCCCTACATAGGTTCAAAATTTGGCAAATGATTTGGGATGGAAACAAGTCTCAAATGTCCAATTTTGTCACTTCAGCCTGCATAACTGCCAAAAGCTTGGGTGGTTTCTCTGTCCTCTAGCAGGAGTTCTCTTTCTAGTTAAAGCCTGATTTCTCAGCCCCTTCCTCATATGTAGAATTTGTAAAACTCTTGGGAAAACTGCAGATCCTCAAATTACCCCTCTCTAGTTAACTCCTTTTCAGAATCGTAGCTACTCAAGTCATTATTGTAGCAACAGTCTTCTGATACCTTTAAACAGATGATTTTTGTATTGAATCTTACTTTTCCTGTTCTTAGCTAGAGCATTGGTCCACCACAAATGATTCCATCCTATCTGGATGTAGAAGTCTGACATTTTTCTTCAGATTCAAATTGGAAAAGGTCCTTAAACTTATAAAATGTTTACCAATTTGTTCCCTTCCAAGTGCATTCAATCTTAGATCATTCAATATATTGTTGAAGAGATAGCTGAAACTATTTTTATGTACTTAGAAATAATTATAGTATAAATTCAAATATTTGATTTTTTATTATTTATTCTCTTAAGTTAGCTAAAAATAAGCACAAAGAGCACAATTAAAAATTGACTGCCACCACTCATTCCCTCTTCCTCTTTCCTCTCCCTACTGCCTTGCATGGTATAAAACAATAAGAAAATAAATAAATCAATATTTGGTCATATTTTCCAACAAGTCTTTGTACCTAAATGGATAGTATCCACCACTTCACTATATTTATGTTTATGTTTTATGGAAAAGCAGTTGTTGTTTATTTAATTATTTTAATGTGCTTATTTGCAAGCCTTCTGGCCCACTCAGTATTCATTTGAATTTTTATATTATAATCATTGTATACTTAAATTTTTCAATTATTGTTTTGTGAATGGGAACTTTTTTTACTTTGATATTTTTTAAATAAACTTTTAAGTTTGGAATAGTTTTAGGTTACAGAGAAGTTTCAACGATACCGCAGTATAGTGAGTTCTCAGATATCGCTCACCGAGTTTCAGTTTTCCCTGATTTTGCCATCTTACAGTACCGTGGTACATTTGTTAAAATTAAGAAGCCAACATTGGTACATTAGTATTAACTTAACTCCAGATGTTACTCAGATTTCACCAGTTTTCATTAATGTCCTTATCCTGTTCTATGATCCATTCCAAGTACTTCATTGCATTTTGTTGTCATATCTTCCTAGTCTTCGCTGGTCTATGACAACTTATTAGTCTTTCCTTCCTCCCCCCCCGACCTTGACAATTTTGAGGACTAATACTCAGATATGTTATCGAATATCCAATTATTTTTTTTTTATGTTTTACTCATGATTAAAGTGATATTTTTGAGTTTTTGGAAACAATACCACAGGGATTTTACCTTAATTTTAAAGCTATTATTTATCATCCTATGTTTTCTAATTATCGTGCCAGGAAAACTTTAGTCCCATTCCACATATTGCAAATCTTCAGATTCAGTGAGAATTTCTTGATTTTGATACATTTGATAATTTATTTTTTAAATCAACTTAGAATTATGTATTTACTTGAACTAGCCTACTTAAAATGTTATCTTTTACAGATAAATTCTTATACTCTTATTTATTCTAAATTCTTCTTCCATATTGCTTCTATTCTAAATTAAGAATTGAAAGCCTTAAAGTCTTTCGTAGGATGAATTAAAAATTTTACAATTAGCATTTATTTTATCAAAGAATTATCTTACCAACTAATCCTTCATTCATTCTTCTTTGTCATTTTTTGGCCAATTTTATTCACCTATTTTATTCAAATTGTAGAAATACCTGGAATTAAAAGATACAGCTGAAAACTTTCCTGTCTTCACTGTTCTCCTTTTTTGAGATCTTTCAGTTTATCATTCTACACACACAAAAAATTAGAATTTTAAATGGAAGGATTTCCATAGAATTACAGAATTTTAAGTTTCATAAGACCCTAAAGGCTAGCTAGTGAAACTGTCCACTAAATTGAGGAATGCTATCCTTTCCATTTAGCCGAATATCCATCATCTCTTAATATCTATCCTTTGATACCAGTGTTGGTCTGGGAACATTTGACAGATAAACCATATTGCATCAAATACATTCAAATATCTGTGTTATTAGTAATGTTCAAAGTCATGTGGGCTAGGCTTAGAGGCACAATTGGATCCAGGTCACCAATAAGCAACAGAAGAATCATAGAACTAGCCAGGATTGGTGGAGTTTATTAGCTTTGAGGGCTGACCTAATTGGGAGCTACAGTAATTTTTCCAATATTCTTCAAATAATTCTTCCAAAGGGCTCTCACAAAATTAGTTTAGCTCTAGGCTATTTTTGACTTATAAGCACATGCATAGATGGGCAAGGTCTGGCAGCAAGAGGCTTTCGGTCTTATTGGTACTTGTATTAGTAGGATAATATTGTAGAGATTTTCACTGATTGGACCTCAGCTGGTACCTGAGGTACTAAGTGATGTGCCCAGCCCCTGAGACATGAATAAGTTAGGTATAGGATTGGAGGTTGGTACATGGGCTTTAGCCATGGGCCAGGGGGCTTGGTAAAATAAAATATATTCAAACAGCAAGGTAAAAGCTTTGTCATAAAGACAGTATACAGCAGGTATGAAGGAAGAAAGTAGTAAATTCTGTATGTACATGGGTGTTTGGAATATACTGTAGGCATAATGGATAAAATGCTATGACTCTTGAATCCCCATCTACTGATAAGAATGAAGCTTTTTTTTTTTTTTTTT